GGATCGTTTTAATCGATAAATCTAACGTTAATCACACTTTGATCAATAGCAATTTCTTTGAAATTTTATTAGATTAAGAAGAATTCGTAAACATTGTGATTTCCAAAGGATTTAGGAAATGTGAATTTTTATTAGCTTTTTAACGGAGCCTCACAAGATGGTTAAGATTTGTATCTTATTCGTGTTACTGCCGCACCTGTTTTATACCATGGTATGTAGTACAACTTCGTGTTCGGAATACCTCACATACACGATCGATCCCGACACACGCAAGATATTCGGACGGATCGAAATTCTACCACCAAAATGCCCACCAGAAAATGAGGAAATTTATTTAAAAGTAGCCTTAAACGCTACCGCTGATTCGATAGTAAGTAAACCTTTTAATATAGTATTATTAAGAATGCGGGTGATTTCTAATAATTTTAGCACATTGAACTGAAACCTTAAAATAAAATTTAGCTAATCAGAATCGTTAGTTTTTGTAATTAGTAATAGTCTTTATAATTCTCGTAGTTTCAGATAGATTATCAGGAATTAATTTAAGAGCTATATTTTTTATTATACTTTATCTGAGTTGTCAATTGTTAATTTTATTCATTAATAAATAGAAATATTTTAATATGTAAACGGACTTGACTGTTACCGCATCATAGATATTGGTCGAAGGCAGAATCAAAACATCCAATTAATAACTAGATACATATACATTTTAACCTTTAATGGAGAATAACTCGACCGGTAAGCGAAATAATAAAAAATGTTTAAGACAAAAGTTGTTTGGTTTCGATGGGGTCATAAAATGGTACCATTGGTTTGACCTTGAAGAATTATTTGAAAGTCACATAAAGGTCACACCAATTTTTTTAAATGGCATTCCCTATTTTTTATTACATATTCTTGTAGCTGACCTCGAGAGCTTTCCAAAACGCTATAATAAAGTATTCTTTTATTAAGAACCTTTTGAGTTATTAAGGTTTGAAAGTTCCAATATTATGACATAAATTACAAAATATCTTGTAAAATATTCACTTTTTATCATCTTACCTTAATACTTTTTTGAACAGAATATTGATACAAATCAACCGGTGTAAAGAAAACACATAATTTTGTAACAAGTATAAAAAAATTTTTTTTAAACAATTGTGTGTTTTCTTTACACCGGTTGATTTGTCTCATTATTCTGTTCAAAAAAGTATTAAGGTAAGATGATAAAAAAATGAATATCATATATAGAGGTCTGTTAAAAAAGTATCGCGAATTTTGTGTTTTTCAAAAATTATTTATTTATTCATGAATATCTATGTTGTCCCCTTCAAAGTAATCCCCATCAGATATTATACACTTGTGCTAACGTTTTTTCCAATCTTCGAAGCATTCAAAAAATCCTTTTGTGATCTTGTTCAGCTCCTCCTTCGATGCCGTTTTTATCTCCTCAATCGTGGCGTAGCGTCGTCCTTTCATGGGCCTCTTCAGTTTCGGGAACAAGACAAAATCACAGGGGGCCAGGTCTGGGGAATACGGTGGCTGCGGCATCATTAGTGTGTTGTTCTTGGCCAAAAATTCACGCACAAGCAACGATGATTTTTGGTCGTGTTACGTCAAAACCTCTTGGAAAGTGGGGATATGGGAAATTGAGATTAGCGGGAGCCGCAGGATAGGGCTTCCAGACGAGGAGGTGTGGAATGACGCAACTAGCAATTTTAATATCTCGCTAACACGCTCGGAGGCGCGTGGAAGCGAGCCGAACGCACTTTTCCAAGGCTCTGAAAAGGTCAATGTCCGCGAGGACACTATAACTCCTTTCGAGAGCGGTGCGATCGCAGGTCCTATTTCGGGTCAAGGAAATTAATCCCTATTACCCTGGGACGGACCTTGTGCACTCTCAAAGGGGAATGAGCTGGGAGAGGTCTTTAGAAATAAAAGAATGAGAATGAGATAAGTTTAGAGTAACATTATATTTAAAATTTGTTTATATCTAGACATTACATTCGAAAATAAAATAAACAAATTTAATTAAACATTAGAATAACCATTACAGTAAAAGAATTGTTGGTCATTTTATTTAGAGAGAAAAAAAAGGATAATAAAATAAGAGTAAAATTATAGAATAAAATATATTACATTTTTATCGTCGGATTTTACAATTACGCGGGTGTGATGGTGTACGTTTGCGTGTGTAGGAGTGAGGGGTTATTCGGCGTTCCTTATTATAGTGGAGGAAAGAGGGAAAAGGCGCTGGAGGAACAGGATGGATACACGCCTAGGGTACCTCTCTCCGGGAAGATAGACCGGGATGAATCGGTGGGGAGGATTGGAGTGAACTCTGTCGAGGAGTTCAGGGATATCTAGGAGCTCAGGGCCTACGGTGAAGGTCCCCGATGGGAGAGGATGGGTGTAAGGAGGAATTTCTTGGATTAAACCAAAAAATTGTTCTGGAGTAATCCGCCGATCGCGGGTTACAGGAGGGAGTTCAAATTCCTCGACGATCTCTATACTCGAGATCGAAGAGGCAGGGGACGGAGGCCTGTCGTCTATTTCCGGAGGTTCTAGGTGAAGGGATTCAGATTCAGGGAGGTTAGGAGGAGGGTCTCGTGGAGGAGAAGAAGGGGGTGGAGAAGAGTTGCCGTTTTGCTCTGAATGTTCTTGGTAATTTTGCGCGGCTATTAAACGCGCCCGCCGATTCCTGCGATTCCTCCGATTCCGCACCGCGTTTCGCGACCTCCACTTGGGTGTTGGGCGTGGATCCCGTGAGTCCACTAAAATGAATTGAGTTAGGGAGGTTGGCTAGACTCTCTCTCTAAATTTGTAAAAGGGTAGCTTTAGGTGAAAGGATGGACATATTCGAATCGTACCGAATTCACACAGAGGTGAGTCCGGAGGCACGAAACGAATTTGTAAGAATGGAATATTCGAATCGTACCGAATTCACACAAAGGTGAGTCCAGAGGCACGAACGAATTTGTAAGAATGGAAATATTCGAATCGTACCGAATTCACACAGAGGTGAGTCCGGAGGCACGAAACGAATTTGTAAGAATGGAAATATTCGAATCGTACCGAATTCACACAGAGGTGAGTCCGGAGGCACGAGACGAATTTGTAAGAATGGAAATATTCGAATCGTACCGAATTCACACAGAGGTGAGTCCGGAGGCACGAAACGAATTTGTAAGAATGGAAATATTCGAATCGTACCGAATTCACACAAAGGTGAGTCCAGAGGCGCGAAACGAAGAGTTAAAGGGTGGGTGTCTTGAGGTCAACTCGCGAGAGTAAAAACGAGATTTTTTTAGAATCTAGCGAAGGTCCCTCAGAATAATAATATATATAGGGGGAAAGGAGGTCGTCGAGCCGAAACGAAATAAAAAGAAGAACAACGTGCGACTTACTACTGATAGCGGTCGTTGGTGGTTTTCGGTAGCTGGTCGAAGGCGGCTGGGCTTAGGCAGGTGTCAGATTCGTCGGCCAGGTCGCGCACAGATTTTATTTTGAGAATATATACGGTGTTAAAGAGTAATGTAGACTCAAAACTCGGCGGATCGCGGAACTGTACGGTAAGAGTCGAGAGCTGCCAAAGAGGCTGAGGCAGCAGGCTCTGGGTTTATATATGATTTTTCGGGGGTGGATCTTGGTCATGGGACGTGGAAGGAGATTTTGGATATTAGGTTCTTTATTGGTGGACTGTTGGGAGGGGTCAAGGAGTTGTCTTCCTTATTGGCAACCCGACCATTAAGTCGTTGTCGCTTACATATTTATTTATGGGCATCATTTCCTTCAGCGACTTTCGAAAAAATCCCGAGTTTCACTTTTGGGTCAAGTTTTGGTCAACATCTGAATCCCCTTTTAGTGTCTCGGATCGTAATATTTTAGAAATCTGAATTTTGAATTTGCCGTCTGAAAGGGCCTGATCCCATCTGTTTGCTGTTTCTCCCCTTTTTATTATGTCAACGGCTATCGACCAGCAACAATTAGGGCACTTCACGTTTCGAGTTTCGAAAAGTGAAACTCTGGCAATAAATTTTTAGTGAGGAAGGGACTCATGTGTTGGCTAGTCGATATCCGCTGATTTCTAAAATTGTCGTTTCAAAGGGAAGAAAACATGTTTCTTACGGTTTGTTGAAAGAGAGAAATCGTGGAGTCCACAGGACGTAACAGTCGAAAGTGAGCAATTTTGATACGAATTTCGCGGCGACCCGTCTCATGCCCAAATCATTGGTAAAAATCGAATGGTACGAGCCAATCGATATGTTTAGGTCCTCAGCAACTTCTCTAACGGTAATTCGACGATTGGCCAATACTATTTTCTTCACTTCATCAATGTTTTCGTCTGTTATTGACGTGCTCGGGCGTCCGGCACGCTCTTCGTCGTTCACATCTTCTCGGCCCTCTGAGAACATTTTGTACCACCGATAAACGTTGCTTTGGTTCAAGGTAGCTTCACCATATGCCACAGTCAACATTCGGAATGCGTCCGCGCACTTAATTTTGTTTTTCACACAAAATTTGATACATATTCTTTGATCCATTTCTTGGAATAGGCAAAAATCGAAGACGAGCCAAAACACGTCCAAGCAAAATAGCTGTCAAAAATGAACTGAACATTCAAAATGGCCGAACTTGTCAGCATGAGTGAGGGACATGAGTACCAACATAACGCCACAAAAAAATTGAAAATCGAATATACGTAGCCCGCGGAAATTCAAAATTCGCGATACTTTTTGAACAGACCTCGTATAAGTACCTGGTGTCTGTCTGTCTGTCTGTTTGTCTGTCTGAGATTGTGACGATGGGGTTTTTTTTCAAGTTTTGCCCACCTACGCACCCACCCACGCATTCACTATTTTTGTTTGTTTGACCGCGAACTCCTCCTGCATTTGTTGAACGATCTTCTTGCAACCGGTCTTAAAATTTTCCAAATTTTTCTGGGATTGTGACGATGGGGTTTTTTTCAAGTTTTGCTCACCCACGCACCCACCCACGCATTCACATTGTTTGTTTGACTATGAACCCCTTTTACATTTGTGGACCGATCTTCTTGCAACCGGTCTTGAAATTTTCCAAA